GGCAGACCGGTTAAACATTAACCGATTTCAAAATAAAAAATACTGGTCTCATTACTTTCGATATTCTTCAGTTCTGGTCGGGTGGCCAGCAAAAAGTTTTGGACCACCCCAATGTATAACTATATACACATGTATGCAAATGTGTTAGCCTTGACTAAGCAGGTGCGATTTCTTACATTCCCAAAGCAGAAGAAAAAAATTATAACTAAATTGAAAAAAAAAACAAAGTTCAAAAGAGAAATAACAAATCAGATGATTAGAGCATTGAAAGAATTTAGAGACTGTCGTTTTGAGTTATGGTGGTGCTTTCTACTGAGCCATAGATATAAGTACCGTAATGTGCTACCGCATTACTAACAGAACATCGTACAAGATGTACAAACAAGTGTGTAGTGACAAAAATTGTTACGCATTTCACATTTGTTTGTGTATCGATGTATGAACATTTTCCTTGTTCCCTAAAATAAAAATAAAAATAAAAACTAAACACATAGACACTCACAAATTAAACATAATAATTTATAACCACAAAAAAGAAAAAATAAATAACAATAAAAACACGCTTCAACTACTAATATGCTTACTACTGCAACACATAAATGCAACATAAAACATTTTCCGCCTATATAACCACCACACACCCTGTAAACAAACTAACAAATCCCCCAACCAACTAACCAACCAACCGAAAACTAATCAACAACCATCTTACCCAATCCAATCTAACTTTACTTCACAATTTCAACACAACCAACAACTACAATAACAACAACAACGCCTTAACTTACAAATAATCAACAAACAACAACAAATACAACCAACCAACTAACCGACCTGATGATCTCCATAAATTTCAATCTGAACTATAAAATAAATAAAATAATAACGAAAACAACAACAACGATTTCTTTCGAATAAATAAAAATACATACACATATGTATATATGTATGTGTAAATATCTACTATGTGATAACAACAATGACAATAACCACAATAACAATAACAATTGTCATAATGTGAATTTGCATGTTTCGCCACAACAATAAATAATTACTTGATATCAATATTTACCTACACATATATGCCTTTTGCATATAACAACAACCGTAATATTGATATCACCAATATTCCACAAATGTCAACAACAACATCAAAAACATTTCTACCAACCCACCACCCCCCAAATAAATCGCTCATGCCACTTACCTAACTTGGCAATCAATAACAAAATATATGTAATTTAATTAATTTTCCTCAGGTATAAACAAGCGTTTGGTTGTAGATTTTGCCAAACTTTATTGAATCAAACCTTTCAGTTACCCTTGCCAGATTTTTGCACACAAATCGTTGTGTAAGAGATTTTTATTGCGAGCATTTTGGAAATATAATAAAGAAAATTTGCAAAAATGTAAAAAGAAACGTGTATAATCTGGAACGTCATAAAACACAAGTTGTGTCACCATCTTATTCTTCTTGTTTGACATTGTAACCGCTGCGATTTTAGTCCGAGTCCAATAATGCACGCCAGTCTTTTCTCTTCTGTGCCAACATACGTTAGTTGGAAATGCCAAGTGAAGCTAACAGCCTAAATATCTATCTCGAAACGAGCATTCGTTTCGTCTGCCTAAAGTTTCGTTCGTGTTTCGGTACTGCATAAGTCGAACTCGACGGACAGCGTGACCAAGATAGCTGTACTTTCTAACACAGCTCATCGTTTCATCGGGTTCAGTATTCGCTCGCCAATTTCTAAAGACCCAAATATCATGTTCATGCTGGTTGCCAAATAAACGAAGTCTTCGTCTTTCCGAAATTCTAACTTCAATAGTGATATGGGTTCCGAGAAAGGAATGCTCTGAGGGTTTGCTTGTGGCATGAGATATTTTGCTCTGTCCTTTTTTATCACCATACCCATGCAAAAATCTGGAACAAACGGTGCTGTTGTTGTTGATCCTTCTCCCGCATTTTTTTTTTCAAGAGTTGGCATATGGTGGATACCTGGTCTATAATGCCCTATGCTCCCATTCCTCCTGCGTGCAACGGCCTCACACTCCTTAGGAAGTTGTAAAGGAGTCTCCTTGGCCGCTTCGCAAAAGCGACACAGGTCGCTGGACCAGATTCCTAGTTTATACAGGTGCCCTATTAGCCTGCAATGGCGCGTTAAAAAACCTGTTATGTTTGTCAGTTTCTCTTTTTGGAGATCCATGAATAACCTATATCTTTTCAGATTGTACCCTCCTGATGTAGACCAATGGTGTTACGCCAGTGCAGTTCCCTGAGTTTAGTATTTTCCTTTCAGAGCATTTTCTTTATGGTGTTGGGTCCCATAACACTCAGGTCCTATCGCGATCGAGGCAGCGGCCGTTCTGGCCAGATTATCAGCTTTCTCATTTTCTACGACCCCCATGTGCCCTGGTACCCACATCAGTTGAATATCATTAACCTCCGCCAGAGCACTAAGCCTCTCTATACAATCCAAAGCCAAGGAGGGCTTGATCTCGAATGATGAAAGAGCCTTAATGCCATCTATTTTGATTGCAGCGGCAACATTATCGACTAGTATTGCAACTGCACACTTAGACCTGAAATATAAGACCAGTTGTCACATCACGTGTTGAAGTTTCACACTCTCTTGCTGAACCACTCAGTGTCTCTGGCGCATAACATCATCCATATTGAAATTTCTATCGAGAACCATATTTTAAGCGCACCAGTTTGTCCATTTTGGGCCTCGGTTCCCTCTTAGATGTCTTTCCTAATCGAAAATAATCTGGATTTTCCCATGACTGTGCCACCTGTCGCCGTGGGAGGAAATCTAAAAACACGTCTGATCGAGATTATACCTATCCATAAATCCAGAAGCAGATGCTTGAGTTCAAGCCCTGTTTTTTCGCTATGACGGTGAACTGTATTCTTCTTCAAGCTAATCTTCATATCTAGAATTCGGCACAGGCTACGGGGGTTATTTTTTTACTTTTTGTAAAAAGCATAAGTTACACTTTTTCCAGTTCCGTCTCCTGGAAAAGAGAGTTTGCAGACAAGTTCCACTGAACTGGTGAGAACACGCAAACTTGGAACCTGCTTCTTGTCACATTGCTCCAAACTTTTCTCTCCCCGAACTCGCTGTCACAGCCCTGCCTATAGGCATTCGCCTTTTAAACTCCACCAGACAATTTTCTACTTCAAATCCATTTAAGACTGCAGTTATTAAATTACTAAATTACTGAAAGCTAGTTCAATGTTTGGAAATGCTGTTAGGCTAAAATCCCTGAAGTTGATTGTGTGTTGAACATTGCACAGCAATCGAGAATAAAGAATCAGAGCAAGCTAGTTTAGCTGAGGTTACGAGGGCGCGTATGGAATGTGACATACTCTCACTCGGAGACATACTTAGTGGTCACTTAGTGGCTCACTAAGTGAGCGTCAAAAAGAGGCACATGCCCCTAACCAGATTTCCTATTTGGAGAGAAAGTTTAGAAAATCAAATGGTATCCCTCTCTCCCAGACTGTTGTGCAAGCATGATCCCAAGACCTTGAGATGCTTCGACTATATGTAGACGCGGACAGCTATACAGAAAGTGGTCAACTGATGATCGAGAGCCAATATACAGAAGTATAAAAAGGGTATTTCTGAAATTAGACTTATTCGTGGGCTAAATATCGTTCTGTTAGAAAGAAATATCACTTGCGTTCGCACGACGTGTAGATCTTTTAAAAAATTACGCACAAATAAAAATCTCTTGCACTACATTAAGTAATTTATAAAAAAATAGTTAGTAAGGGATAAAATTTAAAATCGGCAAAGCAAGAAAATTTTTATTGGCAGAGTGTAAAAGTTCATAAAAATAACTACTGATATGCAGTTTACAAAATGTGAGAGTTTTCTAAAATATAAATTTTTCGAATATTTTTTAATTTTACAAAGCAAAATACGAAATGTTTTCTAAAATGCTCAGTTTCTTCCATATTGAAATTTGCAAATACATATGTATATGTACATATTTATACCCAAGCACATGTGTGTAGAAAAACAAATTGTAAATTGGCTATGAATGATAGGCAACACCTTCTCATTTACAATCAAGTAAAATATAAATATTTTTTTTTTTTTAATTTTTGGTAATTTCAAAATTTCATTAAACATTTTATTCGCTTTCGCTTTTATGTAGTACCACCATTATGAATACGCCAATTTCTTATTTTAATTTGGGCATCCTTTGCAATTATTAAACTTACTAACAAATGCACCCTTATTGTTTATTATTATTATTATTTCCTTTTTTAACTACACCGTTTCTTATATGCAATTTATTACATAGAATCCACACGTATTTACTCGTATTTACACACGTATCTACCTGCATACTTACTTACATACGTACTTACATACAATTGACTGGGATAAATCCAAATATCAATATGAATAATTGATTTTAATGAAGATCACTTTTTATTATTGTTCAAATTTTTCATTCAACCACAAACCAAAAATAAAACGTACATATCTACCTACGCACATACGTTACCACTCGACAAATCCAAAAAAAAAACTGTTAATTTTGCAAATTAAATCAACATCATCGCATCACCAACAAACCAATCAATCAATCAAACAATCAATCAATCAACCAAAAAAAAAACATGATAATCCAATATATTACGTCATTAAAATTTGAACCAAAAAAAAAAACACATAAAACCAAAACCATGAAATAAAAAATCAATATAAAAATTACGCAAATATGAAATGAAAAATCTTTAATGCCATTTCTAAATCTAAATAAAACCAAATTATTTAAAATTCCAAATGCATGCTAATGCATAATTTAAACAAAAAATATATATGCATTATATAATAAAATGAAATAAATGATTCAATGGATGTGAATATGTGGCTGCTTTCGATGGAATGATGACGTCAACGACAAACGCAACGACAACGATAATGATGATGATGATGATTGCGGTAATTACAATGATGACGTTGAACGTCTGGGAGTAGACGCAAAACCACTACCCTCAAGTATGATCCGCCATACTCGAAAAAGCCCATCGCAAAGGGCTATGCCAGCGCCGCAGCTACTGCCGCCAATCATCACTCGGTTGAGGAGGTTTCACTGGATGGTTCCAGCAAATTGGTGTACGCCAATCAGGCAGGCTTCAGGTAGGCAAGCGTCATATATGTATATGCTCACAGTGCACTTCAGTCAAAAAACCATACCTCCAATATTTGTTTCAAATGTTTATATGTAACCTTTTTTTCCCCCCTTCTTGCAATTGTAGGGATAAGAGCATACATGGCCGCCGTTATACTGGCGGCGGCGAAGATGATCAGGCCCATTCTGGTAGGTACCCAAACATTTATGGTTTAACTAAAAGCACACTTGAACAAAATGCTTTTATTGCCATAACTAAAAAAAAAAAAATTATTTACTAACATTTGCCCACTTACCTTCACATACTTACTCTATTACATATTAACACATATAAGCACATATATACACTACCACATGCATACTTGTTGACGTTCCACCTAATTGTGCTCAGCCCTGATTATGATTAGTGTTGTTAGTTGCAATAATACGTACTCTAATTAATGAAATGAGTCTCATCTACTAACTACTACTACAAATACCTAAATACAAACATAGTACATCCATATGTTGTAACTACTAATAACTACTTGTACTCGTACTTGCATACATACTTATCTAATAAATAAAATACTTACATAACTGACAGTTAGTTAGTGCTTGTCGTGCTGTCGTTAAAAAAAAAAATATAAATAAATTTCGTCGCATTCAATGTTTTGCCAGTTTCAATTTACATACTTACTTACTAAACTTTAGTCTAGTCTAGTCTGTTTATTGTCATTAAATGCGCTTCAAATTTCTGCTTACAGTTTTTTTTTACTGCAACACAATTGATTTTATCTTCAAATAACAAATTTGGGTGAAAGAAAAGGTAACCCAACTATTTACATAAGTAAGCTGTGGGAAAAGGGAGCATGTGAAGTGTATTGCGAACATTCCAAACGAAAATGAATACCCAAATAGTTATATTTATTACTTAAAAAAAAAAAAAAAATTTATATGGGACAAGCCACGTCAGGCCGACCACCATTTTTGATTTGGATGAATTTCTAACAGAACTTTTATTTTAAATATAGCAAAGTTTTTCCAAAAGATCCAAATTTCACAATTTGCCGAATTTTGCAGAAAAGTTTTTGAAAAAGTCGAATAATAAAAAATTATAGAATTTCGAAATTTAAAATATTTTAAAACTAAAAGCTTATAAGCTTATCCTTACTCCTTACTAATATTATAAATCCGAAAGTGAGTTTGTTTGTTTGCTACGCTTTCACGCTTTAAATATTCAACCAATGATCATGAAATTTTGGTTATTTAATGATGTTTATGACTAATTTAGACTCCACTTTGATGACCATCAACGAATAGCGCTTTGGGCCAGCAAGCCTTTGAAATTGGTTTTTCAAAGTTTAAAAATTTATATGAATAAAAATACACGCCTTAAAAGATTCAGGGTCTTTTAAGATCAGTTAGAGTTTCTAGAAACAAATTGAGTAAACAATTTATATTTATACTAGATCGCCCTCACCCGCTTCGCTGAGTGTATGAAATTTTTGCGTGCTACATTGAGTAAAATTTATTTCAAGAAAACTCAATTCAAAAACAGGAGCTATTCGTTGATGGTCATCAAAGTGGAGTCTAAATTAGTCATAAACATCATTAGTTAACCAAATACTTGTTTTTTGTAGCATTCTCAAACATGAACCTTTCAAGCCTTTAGTCAAGCAGGCTAGCTTTATAATTTTGATGATTCTAAGATAGGGCTTGCCTGTGAAAACGACTTTGCTCCAATAATCATCTACATGTTCAGCCACCCATTTTAAAGGGTTGCGCCGGTATTGCTCGAAATTGGATCTGGAACTTCCTTAAACAATTTTTGGCACTCATTCAAGGATAAGGAAGAACATTTGAAAATCCCCTTTATTGCGAATTATTGCCGTCATTTGGCATGTCGAACACATTTTGTGGACATAGACTTTCCAGCACTCAAATGAGGCATTTTGGGCTCCCACGGATGAGAGCAAAGAAAAACTACCTCAAAACACACAAGATACAATGAATACATGGAAGAGCAAGTTCCACTATTAAAATCTAGCAGATTTTCAGATGATATTCAAATCCTGGTTGTCGACGTCGACGTCGATGTCATTTTTTCGACAAAAAATAGCTCTCATCAGTCCAACTCCGGTTTTCGGTAGTTTTGCGAGGAACACCTTCCTGCAAAAATTCTGTGGTCATCGTAGCTGACGTTGGACTTGCGAGGGCTATCCCAGCAAAAAATCGGTAATCGCTTTTAGTGGTAACGTGTTCTAGAAGGCATAGCGTTATAATGCCTTCGAGTTTTTTCGCTTCTTTTAGACATTGCCGGTAATGCAAAGTAGAATGTCCTACAATATTTTATTTGTTTCGCCTCTTTGTATCATTTCGGGGAATGCAAAGTAGAATACCCTCTAATATTTATTTCTTTTTTAATTCGCTACTTTGCTTCATTTCGGGGAATGCAAAGTAGAATGCTGCATCGTAGTCAGCTGAAAAATACAATGAATATCCAAAAATTCTTTTTCTACCGTCATAAAAATCATGTTTTGCTTTGTTCAATTTGCAGCAAAGTTGAAATCAGTCAATGAAGTGAAGCACAAGAGTGAGGAAGTACAATTTTAAGCTTAATTAAATATGCATGTATGTACATACCGATTTTTAAGTAAAATCTAAATACCTAAATACATACATATGTATGCATAAAAACTGATTTATACAAATTTTAATCTTTTAAGACATTTTCTGATTTCAATTTAATATAAATAAGTATGTACTTATTTAGGCATTCTACATTAGTTTCTCTGTAAGGAATTCTTTGTTCGCTTCTCTGGATTCTGTTTATCCATCCGTTCTCCCTTCGTTTGAAGACAATGCTATGGGTAAGGGCTTACCGCCAATGACATGCCCATGTTAAAATAATGCCTTCTTGAAGCGAAAGGGTACGCGATTCCCATCGCCTAGATCGTTTTCACTTTCCTTTCTGTGGTAATCGTGCTTTTTGCTGGGATGTTTTGACAAAAAAATTACATCGACGTCGACAACCATAATAGGTCCGATTATTTAACACAAAACATCCTATTTCCTTCTTGTTGAAAGTACCCATTTTTTTATTTTTTTTTCATTAAAATTATCTTTGCGAAACCGAAAATTAAGAGACGATTTCGAGCCGATTGCTTGAGTTCCCAGCAAAAAACACGGTTACCACAGAAACGAAAGTGGAAACGAGCTAGGCGATGGGAATCGCTTACCGTTTCGCTTCAAGAAGGCCTTATTTTAACATGGGCATGTCATTGGAGGTAAGCCCTTACCCGCAGCATTACCTTCAAACGAAGGGAGAACGCATGGATAAACAGAATCCAGAGAAGCGAACAAAGAATGCCTTAGAGAGAAACTAATGTAGAATGCCTAGATAAGTACATACTTATTTATATTAAATTGAAATCATAAAATGTCTTAAAAGGTTAAAATTAATTAAAATTTTTATAAATCAGCGTCCATATGTATGTATTTAGGTATTTAGATTTTATTTAAAATCGGTATGTACATACATGCATATTTAATTAAGCTTAAAATTGTACTTCCTCACTCTTGTACGTCACTTCATTGACTGACTTCAACTTCGCTGCAAATTGAACAAAGCAAAACATGCTTTTTTATGCGAGACAAATTTCCACAGAAAGTAACGGTAGAAAAATAATTTTTGGATATTCATTCCATTTTTCAGCTGACTACGATGCAGTATTCTACTTTGCATTCCCCGAAATGAAGCAAAGAAGCGAAACGAATAAAATATTGTAGGACATTCTACTCTGCATTACCTGAAATGACGCAAAGTAGCGAAACAAATAAAATATTGTAGGATATTCTACTTTGCATTCCCGGAAATTAAGCAAAGAAACGAATTAAAAAATAAATATAATAGGACATTCTACTTTGCATTCCCCGAAATGAAACGAAGAAGCGAGATAAATAAAATATTGTAGGACATTCTACTTTGCATTACTGGCAATGCCTAAAAGAAGCGAAAAAATTGGAAGGCATTATAACGCTATGCCTTCTAGAACACGTTACCACTAAAAGCGATTACCGATTTTTTGCTGGGTTTGTACGTTGACTTCGCCTTATCTTCTTATCTCGTGGGGGAAGATACTGCTTCATCCTTAATTTCCAGATTCCTTCACTTCACACAAAGTAGGCGCGATTTTAATAAATTAACGCTGGGGTCTGACCGTTGGCACAATGGACAAACTATTTCTGAGTACTTGCCCTTCTATAATGTAAATTAAAACAGCTGTCAACTTTATTATAACGAAGAAAGCCTCTCGAATACTATGTATACATTATACACTAGAGGATCACCTAGTAACACAACTCATAGGCCTATCCGGTGCTGCCATAAGCGAAATGAGCAAATTCTTCAGAGAATCAAAATGGTTTGACCAAACAACATAGGATGTGCATATATTAGGGTGGTCCAAAATTGCACGTGAAAAAGTAAATCCGGAATTTAAATGTCCTCATGCTCTAGTATTGTTTTATATAGAAAAAAAACATACCCCTTTATTTAGTTCGAAATCTAAAAATATTCTGAAGATAAGAAAAAAATTTATTTTCAAGAATTCTATACCATTTCCCTGAAAATTTTGTTTCCTCATATAGAATACATAGAAAACTTTGAGCGCTTTTAGCGACCTCTAAATATCTTATGGTTAGTATACAATAATTCTAGGGTGTGAGAGCACTAAAATCCCCACCTTACTTTTTGGACCACACTGTTCATGTGTTTGATTTGTTTCGCATTTTTAGGGTTGATGGACAAACATAAATAATAAATAAATATAAAAAAAAATTTATGTTAATTTTTGGAGTCTCCAAAGAGGAATCTGAACTTTGACCCCACGCCAGTTTTGCAATCGCTTAAAACGTACACTTTATTATACAAAAATTTAATGCAATTTAAAACTACATACTAAAATTAAATTCTAAAAAAATTTAAAAAAAATTGTAAATTTGTAATATACTCATTTTACTCAACTTCGGTGTGAAAAAAATTCATAACTCAAATTATTGTAGAGTGCACCTTGTAATACTATACTTTAATATTGCGCAATAGTTAGAGCTACCATTGTGATTTTTTGTTAATTTTTTTTGAGAAGGCATATTTTCAAAAATTAATTTTTTTATCAAACAATTTTTGTGAAATCAAATGTAATATTTTTTCACTCCCCCTCAATCGGTAGTACCACGGTCACATATATCACATATAAATTTTGGTCCCGATTGGAGTCAGTTAGGACGTGTCGCAATGCTTATTGAAGAGTTCTAATTCTGGAATTTACCCACAAGGCTAAGGAAGCCAGAAAAAATAATGAGGCAAAACAGTTCTTCTTCTTTGTGGTCTGTTTAGAATCGATTTATCTGGAAGAAATCACTCCAATATTGAGGTTGGTTATTTTATAATTTTGAAATATGAAATTCTTATTCAAGCAACTTTATAAAAGTTGAAATAAGGGTAATGAATAACACTGGATTGTTTCAAAACGCTTCACAAGTTTCCTTCTATTTTCCCTGAATTGAGCTCGACGCAAGCTGGAAAAAAATTGGGCAATTATTTTGAAAACGCTTACAAAACCTGAATCCCCAAAAGGTTGTTCCATGGCTGCCGGCTTTATAACTTTAGCACTTTTGACTTGCTACGCGCACTTTAACGAACGTCAGCACAATTACTCTCTGCACTCTTTCAGCACTTTCAGCTGCACGCACTCGCACTTGCACACAGTTGCACCAGAAATGAAATTTAAAATGAAAAAGCCAGACTTTTTGAAATACTATATTATACCTGATTTTCTCTTCCCCCACTACTGCGCTACGTCAACGCATCAACAACTGCAACGCAACAACAACTACAATAACAACGCCAGCAGAAAAGGGCATACTAAAGAAGCACAGCTACGGGCTTGTGCACACCGAACAGTTGAAGGACAAATGGGGCGACGATGTACAGTCCGACAATCTCGAGCTTATTACACAACAGGACGGTGCACTCGGCGCCTCCACTAGCGGTGGTGCGGCGGTCTCCGAAGTAGAGCGCACCCTAAAATCCCTCAACGGCTATCACGAAGACATCCTCGAGGCATTGCGTAATGCGGCCTCACATCGTGGCACCGCCACCGGCAATACGCCAGTCGGTAGCGGCAGCCTAAGCGAAGAGATGCTACGCAAAACGCTGCAAGACTGCCAAAGTGCACAACTTGGCTATAGCGTGGAACCGTATAAACGCGCAAGCGGTTCCAAGTCGAGTTCACGTGAAAATATCTGCGATCCAGCGCAAGCGCATTTGCTCATCGAAAGTGCGGGCATTGGCGGGCATGCCGGTGCCGTGTTGCATCATCATCGATCACAGCATCAGCTGCATCAGCCGCCACCAACACTACAACAGCAACAACCGCCGCTGGACGACGATGATGCTCCATCGACTGGACCGCTGCGTATACGCAATCTGGAGGATCTGATACGACAGCTTGAGCATCATTCGTCGCGCCATATGAGTCCTAGCGGCTCCGAGGACATTCGAATGTCCGAGACGGAAGCCGATCGCCATTATAGATTAGATAGTTCCGCCGCTTGTAGTGAATCCTCGCAAGGGTTAGTAACGTTTTGCAAATACACATAATGCATTTAACAATTTCGATTTCAATTTCGATTTTGTTTATGTTTTTTGCTGATTTTTGCCGATTCGTAATGAGCGTTTTATGAATAATGTTTTTACATAACAACTATATTAATTTGATTTTCGATTAATATGGGTTTTTAGTAATACATACATACAATACATACATATACGAGTACATACATATTCCATACAACCCACATTCATACTTCTGAACGTATTTATTTCGCATTTAATTTACTGTGAATTTTTTGTATGTTGGGGCTGTAGGTGCCTATTTTTGGATAGAAAAGAAAGCTTCATTAACAACTATTTAAGTACTTAGTACATATTCGTATTTACATATATTCGTTCCTAGGTGATCAATAGTTACTCGTGCATACTATATACAATTACCTGCATATATGTATGTGTGTATGTATGAATGTACGTAAGTGAGATGCTGCAACCCGCTTTAACTGATGCTACATAAATCAAATCGTATTCCTATACCACTTACCACAAATACATACATACAATAGTGACAACAACATAAACGTGTCGTCCAGTAGAATTTAAAAAAAAAAACAAAAAAAAACAGAAAAATCAAAAACTAATTTAACATAAGAAAATAATACAACAACTACAACAATCACTATGATAAAACACATTGCACTTAAACTATTTGGAACTCTTAATATTCTTTCAGGATTTAGACTGGAATATCTGGTGTGATAAAGGTTGGTTACAGTTTGGTACTCTTACACACACATTGGCACCAAAAAAATCAAATGTGATCGTTGAGCGATAATAAGTAATACATATACATATACAAACTTGTAGTTGCAGCCAATACTTACTTAGTTTTAAGTAGAGTTTTTTCTATGTTAAAAAATAGGCACCTATATTCACCCTCAGATTATTATGTAAACAAATGGTTGCAATAAGAATCGCTTTAAATATACTTTTCATATAAAACTCAGTTTCTAAAGAGTGGTGCGCATCGGAATCTTTCGATGCATAAATTCTTGATTAACTTTTTTTTCTATTTACACCTTATTTTTTTTCATTTGAACTTACTGCGGCAAGAATTTAGCAGCAATGTCCCAAAAGTCGCTTGTTAAATTTTTTATAAAAGTCAAAACAATTTTCCCCCATTTGGTGGAAGTTGACACTGATCGTTCCTGACATAATATTTGGTCATGTACGACACTTGGTCGTTCCAAACATATCATATAATTATTTCAGGAGCAAGGGAAAGACCTTTCCCAAAGATATTTTGTACTCATAGGGAAAGTTTTTGAAGCGGTTCAAAATTTTATGATTTTTTTTTTAATGTGCCTCGCATTGAACTACATAAAGGCCGTTTTTACCACAAAAGTTAAGAAAAATACAAAATGTTTAAAAAAAAGTATATTAAAGAAAGTTATATGTGCACTGAAAAAGAATTTTTCGGAATAGAGGTGATTTTTAGGAAAAAAATATTTTTGGGAAAAAGAATTATCTTATAACAACAATACTTTAAAAAAAAAATTATTTCCTAGGAAAAGATATTTTTAACAAAACTAGACAAAATTTCAAATATATACATAAAATGTATGTAGGTATAAATGAACATGTAAAAAAAAGTTAATTTTCAGAAAAAATACTTACGTGGAAAAATTCAGGTTAAAGCAAATAATTTTTTGAAAAAAGAATTATTAGAAAAAAGGAGTAGTTTTGTAGGAATTTTTTTTGGCAAAAAAATACTTCACGAAAAATATTTTTTTAGAAAAAGTTATGTAGTAATTGAAAAAGATATTTAAGGAAAGCAATTTTTCATTAAAAAATTTTATAATTTTTTTTTTTAAAGAATTTTTAGAAAACAGAAGGATTTTTTTTTTGAAAGCATTTGAATTGGTAACAATTTTGAGAAATTTAAGTTGTAAAATAAGTAATTTATTAATTTATTTAGCAAAAATTATAGGATTTTTACCAACTTCATAAAAATATTTTTTTTTTAATAATTTTTTAAAAAGAAGTTTTACGAAACAGGAGGAATTTTTTGGAAATATTTGAATGGATAACAATTCTGAGAAAATCGAATTATAAAATAAGTAATTTTTCAAGTTTTTTACGAAAAATTATACGTTTTTTACGGACTTCAAAAAAGGAGGAGGTTCTTATTTCTACGTGTATATATTTAAGTGTAGGTGTGTGATCCAGATCGGTTTAAGGGCGACCTAAGATTTGGTCATCTGTAAGAAGTCTTCGAAAATAAGTAATTTTGTAATTTATTTAGGAAAAATCATAGGATTTTTAACGACTATAAAAAATAATATTTTAAAAAGAATTTTCTGGAAACAGGAGGATTGGAAAACATTGGTAACAATTTTGTGAAAATTTAATTTGTAAAATAAGTAGTTTTTTTAGTTTTTTTTAGGAAAAATTATATGTTTTTTACGGACTTCAAAAAAATCATACGATTTTTATCGACTTTATAAAAGTTTTTTTTTAATAATTTTGAAAAAGAATTTTCAGGAAACAGGTTTTTTTTTTGGAAGATGTTTTAATTGGTTACAATTTTGAGAAAATTGAATTGTAAAGTAATTTTTTTATTTTTTTAGGAAAAATTATAGATTTTTACGGACTTCAAAAAAAGGAGGAAGAAAAAAGAGTATTATTTTTTTTTTTGCGAAACTCCACTTTATTTCTCAAGCTCGAAACTTCAGCCCAGGGTTTCTTAATCTTCTTTCATAAAAATTATTATTCTTTCATTGGCTGTCAATTAAACAGGCGACAGTGCAATCTTAAAGATCAATGCTATGCCTAAAGTGCGATTAAAAACCTCAATGCAAAAGATAGCTACGGTATAAATTCTGAAAAATATTTTTAAAAACTAATTTTATTTATCGTTTTTTGGAGGTACATATTTTCAAATTGTTCCACGTCATTTAAGTCTAAATATTTTTTCGAAATATTTTGGCAGAAATCTTAAAATATAGTAAGTTTTATAATTCCGATGGAGAGTATTGCACCCTATGGTTCATATATTCTTTTTTATTGACTTCAACAGCGATTGTCATTGCAACCTTCAATAATATTTATGTTATCAGGCTACAAGCATATTTTCGTTACAGATCCTAATTTCTCATTGAATTTATTTATTTTCTTTTACTTCTTATTTTTTTCAAAATTTTCACAACACACAAGCTACTCGTCAAATTTTCTAGTGCGTGTGTGCGTGTATGTATGTTATTTCATTAACATATGTATGTATGAGAGCATAGAGTTTACCTACCTACCTACCTACCTACCTACATATGAATTGTGTTGTATTCGTCTCTGTTGAATCGCAGCTCAAATCAGCAAATAGCACAATCACAGAAAACTGCAACAATACATCCGTCTTACAGCAGTCGTTTGCGCCCGCGCTCCGACGAGGAGTCGCGCTTCGCCTACGGAAGGTACAGACATCCTCCTCAAGCTACAAGTAGACATCCATCGCATCAATCGCACTCACCTCATGCTTTCGGCCACCATACGCATCATTCGCACGCCCACGGTCATGCTACGCACGGCCCACACTCATCACATCACTCGTCGCATACACACTTGCACCAGGACGACGAGGGTATATACGAGAGTGCCGATCACCATGAACGTTCGGTGGTTGAGGCACGACTCGATCCGCGTGAAACACCCGACAGTGAGAGGTAGGTACTCGTTACATTCACTTTCGCTCACACACACGCTCTCTCTCTATCTCTCACTATCTCGCTCTGTCTGCCTATCTGCCACTTTACCTCGCTCTGACTCGCTCTATATATAAATGCATAATTGTCCTTCCTTTTATCCTGCATTCCTTGTATCCGCTATCCAAGATTCTTTTAAGAGCACCATATCCTTCTACTTCGTGTTAACCTTGTGTACATATCTACATATCGTCCGAAGAAGATGAAAAGACACAAATCCAGTTTGTAAAAATTTTATGAAATTTCAATACCACCTACACCTCCCATGCCAATTACCCACTACCATGCGTAGCATTCCCGCCCATCCGCACTCCCACATCCTCAGCCAATATGTAGACTCAACACTTAAATAGTTCTACTCCCACTGTCGCTTGCAAACTCAAACGCTATCCAAATTCCAATTTGACTTAATTTCTGTATTTCATCCTTCAACCCTTGCGTGCAGCCTTTGGCTTACGTTATCCACCCTCTTCCAGATATCCAATGTCCTACACTGAATTCCCAAATCCAATTGCCACAATCAGTTCGAGCAAATCCCCAATCTCCTTAATCCGAATTAAAATCTAGTTTTATGTCCACTTGTTTGAGAAATACTTATGTAATTTTTATTATTTGATTATTTAACTAAATTCGATTAGATTTATTTTACGAACTTTTCACAATTTAAGTTGAGACTTCTCCTTTCTTAATTAACTCGTTGTACGTAATTGTAGTGGTAGTATTGTGAACTGAAACCAAAACTGTAAAAAAAAACACGAGAGTAAAAATTATAAAATTATTAACTAACAAAGCTAATTTAAGTACTACTGTGCAATACACCTGAAATGTCATGAGTAATTTTACACGTAACCTAAGGAATTGAACGTCGACTTTCCTAAATGCATACATATGTTTGGCGTGCAGACTTACAAACATATACATATACAGTGGATATTTTGTATGATGACGTGTACTAACTAATTTTAGAGCACACAAATGGAATGCATTCCACACTTGAAAATACTTATATATATGATTAGTTTTAGATTTATCGTTGTTCCTATAGAAGTATAAAACGACGTTGATTTAATGAAATGAAAAGAATAAAAAATACATACTTAGTGACTAACCATAGCTGAAATGAATTGTTGCATACATACTTACATCTGTGTTGTGTTTGCTCCATATCCCTTTTTCATTTAAATTAAGAACGCCCCTACTAATACTTAGGTAAACACATCGGCAAACTTTAGCGCTAAGCTAAGGAATTGATCAGTGAAAGTGTTACCGAAAAACTCATTCAGCTATGTAAACCGCTCGCTTGCTGGAAGAACGTAATAACGCAAGATATAAAAATTTGATAAAAACGGGTCTAAAGCTTGGGTTTCAACACTGAAAAAAAAATTAATAATGACTCAAGTTGTGGTGGAATGATTGCAACTCAAGATCAAAGACCCAGGCACATACTATATAAGTAAAACCTCCAAATCTTTTCATTTCAAATTGATATTGTTTGCCACTCATGCCAATATGTCAACCCAGTCATCGAGGTGGAGAGCTACCAAGAATCTTTAACGTGCCTAATTGCATCAACCACCCATTCAAAATCAAGATGGAGGCTGGGCCAGACATACTAATGCAGAGAAAGCCGACGTCCTCGTGCGACACTTTGTCAATCAGCAAGTTATATTACCACAGTTACAATAAATACAAAATTGCACAATACCAAAAAAAAAGCTGACAGAAACGAAATCAATAATAAGTTCCGCCAACTACAATGGCAAGATAGCAGATGCTCCCTGGTACATTACAACTCACAATCAGCACGTTGAAGAAACTTTTAAGGAAATCAGCACAAAAAATATTATTGACCTTAAAAGCCACGCCAACAATGAAGTGCAACAAATACCCCTAGACGAAGAAAGACATCACAGAAGGCTCAATATCAGACCTACTATCGAGAAACTTTAATTAATTGATTGAACTATAGAATAATCACAGTATTGGACATATCTATAGTATCCCCATTTCAAAGTGCTATTATTTGCCACTAATGTTTAATTATTTATTTTTAAGAATTTTGAATTATAATACAGTCCATTCTCTAACAAAACTTAATATTTTGTCATTAAAATAGGCGATAGCCGAATCGACATCTGCTTTCGTTTTTAGGCATACATTGATCCCGTTCTATTATCTCCCGGAGCACACTGAGGTCAATTTTTTTTTTTATATGCCATATTAGATAAGAAATACGTAAGTAGTTTGCATAGATATTATAAAATTTCACGTGGAACAATTTTTTAGAGCATTTTAGCCCATTAGCTCTCCCACGAAAGGGTCCTTTTTATCCCGTTTTTGGGAAAACTGAGTAAAATGGCATTCTAGAAAATAATTCGCCGGAAAATTTCACTAGGGGTATTCTCAGACAAAATCTTTATACAAGGAACGCAAAAGTATACCGTAAATTAAAACCAAATATGTCTCCTTGTTCCTAACTATGACTCTAGCTCTTTTCAACTGTGACGGTTCGGGGCTTGGGTCATCAGTATAGCAATTATCGCTATCAGCTGAATCTGAGTTACACATGACGTCCATATGCGACTCCAGTGCAGGCCTTAATGCTTCTTTTTCAAATTCTGCATGATCACGAACTTCGAACACAATTTTTGAAAATTATTTAAGCATTTTTGAACATCTTAGTTGCTAAAACGATGTTTCGCCAAGCTAGAATCATTCTTATGAAAACAATTAAAGAAATAATAAAAAAGTGTTTACATATTTCAAGGAGACATATTTGTTTTTTTTTCTGTGTACTTTCACGTCCATTGTATAAAGATTTTGTCTGGGACTACCCCTAGTGAAATTTTCTGGCGAATAATTTTCTTGAATATTTTAACGCTCTAGTAACCTCCCTAATGCTATTTAATGCAGACTTTCCAAGAAAAAGGTGTCAAAACGACCCACTCGTGGGAGAACTAGTGGGTTAAAACCTTCTAGAAAATTATTCCTCATGAAATTTTACTATTCTAAAAATACTCAGGCCAAAAGATGCTAAATTAATATGACCATAAAAAGTACTTGAGAATGTAAAAAAGATTTAGAGGTTTTACTATATGGGTCTAGGTCTTTCTTGTGGAGTTTGAATTATTCCGCCACCATAAATGTTGTTGCACTGTGTTCTTTGCTATTGCAAACACTCATTGTTTCCAATTATAATTGTTTAGAAAAGTGTACATGAGTAAAATAACAAGGAAGAAAAATTTACTTCTTAATCCTTTTCCATTTTGTTCCTGTAACTGAAAACCTTTTTTCTGTTTGAGAATTAGAGAATGGAAAGTTTGCTCCGGAATTGACAAAAATTGGTTCCAAGGATTTCTTTTTTTATGAAATTGTAGAATATTGTCTCATTCACAGTTTTATATTTTTTGGTATAATTAAAAAAATAAAAAAGACTGATTTTTTTAAATACATATTCACAATGTTTTGCAAAATATTAAAAATCAATGCAATTTTTTAGCCGCTTAAATAATAATTGTATGGACTGTGAAGTAGAAGAAGCTCGGCCAAACACTAACATATTGTGTAAGCACCAATCTATTGTTATTATTATTGTTATTATTATTATTATTATTATTATTATTATTATTATTATTATTATTATAAAACTGCATACACAAAATCCAAAAGATTTAATTTAAAAAGTTAGAAATGTTGATGATTTTTTTTTTTTAATTTTCCTAAATTTGGTTGATACTTTGATTTATGTATATGGTTTTGGTTAAATCTTGAACAATATTTTTGTATTTTGGGTATGAGCAACAAATACTATTTTAAAAAGCAAACATTTTAATTGGTTCAATCATAAAACCCAATAAACAACTGGTGGCTTTTACAGTGTTAATCAAGTAGAACAATGCAATTTCCTTCTCAGCGATTAGCAATGCTTTAGATATCGAACCAAAGAAGGCGAGCTTGCGAATTGCAATCGAACTGTTTTCTTTTTTTTACTAAGTACTCTAATTTAATCAACTACTGGACAGTCTACATGGATATATTTAAATGGAGATGCTAAGTAGTAGGGGCGTTCAATCAAACTACCATATTAATTTTGTATCGCATTTTAGATTACTCCCATATGAGGCATTGTTGTTTTCACGTGAAACAAAAACATACCCACATCCATTCTTGCATAAATTTTTATCGTCAAACACGCCAATCATTCATTCAGCATGATCTCAACTAACTAAATACATAGATATTTATCAGTACATATTCATGCATATAAATATTCATAAGTAGTATCACTCATCGCACTCGGCTACATACATGCCATTGTAAATATATATATATACATATGTATGTATGCATATTTGTACATTTTCTTTAATTAACTCCTCGCACATTCCATTATAATTCAGTTCAGAAATTCACCTACTTACTCGCTCTGCCATCGCCATTGCCATTGCCATCAACTTCATTTCATTTCACTTGCATTGAAAATGTATGCCCTAAAGCTTGTGTGTGTACATTCATATTTATATACGAACATATACATAATATTTATACACATACATGTATGTATACAATATATATTTGCCACTCAGCTTATCAATATTCATTCAAAATACTGCTATTTATATACATATGTACATTAGGGCGGGTCAATTTGTATTAAATTGTAATTTACATATTAAAATAGGTTTCTTAGCATTTTTTTGTAGCGTCGTAAAGAGGTGTTTAAATTTTGTATTAACACATCCTATAAGGAGTTTTTTGGTATGGGGGATCCATTTCTGCATTTACATACCTTTTGTATTAACACCAACAGGGGTCGCAAAAGTGAAAATTTTCATATTTTCTTTGAAACTTATTTTCGCATTTTAGCAAATTCCACATTGACTTTAGACCCATGGTTTCTTCGGCAAATTTGCTGAGAATAACATTTAGAATCCTCCTATGCGCATAATAAAAATATGTGTCCGCCCTAATGTACATACCTACATACATATAAATATTATATACCCTTCACTGCTGTAAATACATAACTACATGCATATGTAATAATTGAAACACACAAGCAAGCGCACATTTATCTACATACATAAGTATGTACATATGTATATACACACATACATACATACGTAAACGTAACAATATACCTTTGTACATAAATACTATTTATGTATACATACCTACATAACCTACATACATATGTATTTGAATGCTAAACATTCACGTTTGTCTGTATGTGGATTGTGATATTCATTAATTGGTTTTGTTGTTGTTTTCTTTTGTCTCATTTTGATTTCGAATTTCTGCATTCTGTCTGACCTTTTGTGTTTGAATTTCTTTTTTTTATCATGCGTTCCATTTGCTTTTTGCATTGCGTTCCTTGCCTGCCTTTCTAACGCAAACTCTATTTATTTTTATCACATCACTGCAAATTGTTTGTTTTGTTTCTAAACCGTTTCGTTTCACTCTAATTTCATTTCTTGCGAGTTCTTAATTTTCAAATTTCTTTCTTTTTTCGTTTCGTTCCGGTTAAATTCACTTCGGTTCGGCTTGATTCGTTTTGCTCTGTTCCGTCTCATTTCATCTGTTCTGTTTCGTTCTATTCGCTTGCGTTTCGGTTTACTTCCCCTCGTTTCGGCTTGATTCGGTTTATGCTGTTCCGTCTCATTTCATTGCGCTTCGTTTTGTTTCATTCCATTTCGTTCCCTTGCGTAAATTTTGTTAAATTCATCGTGCTTTAACTTACAAATGTACACTCGTTTGTCGCTTTTTTCATTTTAAATTGGTTCTTTTCTTTTCGTTTCGCATCGTTTACGTTTTGATTTCGGTTTTCGGTTTCGATTGTGTTTTCGATTTAATTTCGTTATACATCCCCGAAACCCAATTCTTATTTTTTGTTATTCCGTGTACCGCTGTTCCTGTTATGATTATTATTTTCTAGTGATGACTTTATTCAAGCTCAACAACAGTTAGCCCGGTGGGCGAGTGAGGATGTGGTATCCGTCGTGGTATTGGATCAACAGCAATCCGGCACAATGTCGGATTCCCAACAATCCAGCGGCGTCGGACCAATGTCAACGGCTACAACGAGTACCGTTATACATCATCAACACCCGCACCAGCACCACGGCGATCATCCATCCTCGGCAGCGGCCTCAGCGGCAGCGGCGGCGGCGGCGGCGGCGGCGGCGGCAGCAGCAGCGGCAGCCAACAGCAACTCTATAATGGGTTTGGGGGTCGTGCCAAATGGTATAAATGTAAGTCAGAGGGACTATTACCCCTCGCCACCCTCAACGGAGACGGAAAGCAGTGGAAGTGTTATCCCACCGCTCAGCCGCCGTTTGCCTATGCCAGCCGATACAGGCCAACAGCAAGCGCAATTGCAACTGCATCAACTGCATCAGCATCAACAGCATCAGCAGCAGCATCTGCATCAGCAGCAAATGCAGCTGCAGCAGCAGCAAGGCGACACCACCAGCAGCAGCAACAACAGTCAATCAGGACAAATAATGGAGAATGGTCGATATCCGGAATATAAACACTGATCATAATGTCAATGCCAACAACAGCAACAACAAATACAACAACAACAACAACACGAGCAAGAGCTACAATAGCATAAACAACAACAGCAAACACAATAATAAATTGTATATAGCAAAGCACAGCAGATGATACACAAAACAAAGAAACAGCTAAAAGCAAAGCAATTCTTTAGAAAATTCAAAATTATTTACATATACAAATTGTTGTTGTACTGATGGGAATTCATGCATACATATGCCGAAATAAAAAGAATAAAATAAAATCGGCTACAAACAGGCAAACAACAAATTTATTTAAGAAAAAAGTAACATTGGCATTGGCAGTAATATTAGTTACTATATAGTTTAGTGCGCGTTGGCAACGCCGAATTCAAACAACAACAAAAAAAAACTATAGAAAAACAGTGGAAGACCAATCGGTCGTGCACGCGCGAGCGAGCGAACGAGATATCGACCGAAACCCAGCAATGTGATTTTATACAAAGTAGCATTTTAGGTTATTTAATATTTAAATAAATTTGCAAAAACAAGAAATTGGTAAAAAGACATTTAAACAAAATTTACCCTAAAAACTTAACGAATGAGTACTTAACAAAAAATCAATTAGAAATATAATGCCATTTTGTCTAAGCACTTAAAATTAGATAAACAGCAGAATCACAAATGGCTGCGCTAATTAATTAAGTCATACACGCACTCATACTAACATAAATGTGTGTTTTTTTTGTTAATCATATCCATTGTAAATACATACATACACACAATTCGTCGGCATTATTTAGCAAGGCTCCACAAACTTCTTTACATGCATTGCAAAAAAAAAATAAAAAATCGATGTACATACTTACGCATGTACATATACACAAATACATACATACGAAATTATATGCATAAATCACTTATCGTATACTTTATGCACATACATACGTGTATATTAAAATACATTTAAATGCATAGCTGTATTCACTTGCCAATTATCATTAAGCATCATTGATGTTTCTAATGCCCTTGTGTGGAAACCCTTACATGGACTACATGCAAATCCATATACATACATACATATGTACATAAAAATACTGCATATACACAAATACATTACATAATTGTAGTTAGCGAATGCAAATGGAATTCTGTGAAAAATAGCAGTAAGTTTATAAACCTGAAAATAAAAATAAAAATCACTGTTATACGAAACAAGTTGAAAAAACAAAATCAGTTAAATTTATAAATCCAGGCGAAAATCGGCGATTGAATTTTTTGCAAAATTATTTAGGGATTTCATTGGAATCCTTCTCTCTAAAATCATTAAAAAATTTTCGCGGAAAGCTTCAAATCCTACCTGCAGTTGTAAAAGAAACTATCCGCTGTGATTTCACACTTTTCTAGTAATTATGTACATTAGACTGCATCACTCTCCCTTACAAAAAATAATAGTGGGTACTGTTTTTCTATTGGAATTATAAAACCTATTATGTTTTAAGACTTGCACCAAAATATTTAAGAAAAATATTAAGATTTACGTGAACTGTACCGAGATTTGAAAATACCTCCAAAAATTCAGATTTTTATAAATAAAAATTGAAAATACCTCCAAAAATTCAGATTTTTAAGAATAAAAATGTTTTTTTTTTAAGTTTTTTTTGAAACAAATCACCTCAGATGACAAAACAGTTTAAGTTAAAAAAAATTTGCATAAAAATTTTTCAACCGAATATTGAGATTTCTGATGCTGCTTTTGAACTTTTTTCAAAGGTATCATTTTTACTTCTTTGCAAATAAACTCAAATTCAAAGTATGAGGGAGAAAGATAAGATGAACGAGCGTCATTCTAAGTTGAATTAAGATGTGTTGATATTTGTAAAAGACAAAATGGGACGAGAATAAGAAATAAATAAGGTGAGAAAATAACTTTCCACTCATATCTCATAGGTCTAAATCGGTACAGTTATTCAAGTTTTTCTTGAACCAATATTTGAGTTTAAGAAACAGCGTAAAACTCTCGTTATCATGATTCCGCTGAAATTTTTTTTTTTAATATTTTTATGCAGATTTTTTAAGCTTAAACTGTTTTGTTATCAGAGGGGATTTTTTTTTATAAACTATTTAAGAAACTATTTTTATTCATAAAAAAACTCCATTTTTGGAAGTATTTTCAAATCGGTCCAGCTCACGTAAATCTTGATATTTTTGGTGGTGGTCTTCAAATATTATAAATTTTGTAATCCCGGTTATCCATAATATCAGCAAGACCTTTGGTAGACCAATGAGTGGCCCTAAATATTACCAAGAGGGTCATGAGCAGATCCAAAGTATGGCAAAGACGTGACCTTCATAAAGCTGAGCAGTGAAAAAAAAAAACAAAGAAAAACAGCGAGGTATTCTAGTGTACCGTTGGATTTGCATTTACAACATGCCATGTACGCCTGAGATACTGTGAGAAAATATACTGCAAGTAGCCTAATATCTTGCAGTCTATATCGATATAAAAAAGGGGGATTGAAGCCTCACATTGTGAACTGGATGTACACAGCGGTTGTGCGTCCCATTCAGCTTTATGGAATTACGGTTTGGTGGCCGTCCGCAGTTACATCTACAATAATAAACGAACTAGCAAAGGTTCAAAGGGTGGAGTGCATGGTGATCACAGGGGCCTTACCATCGACGCCGACTGAAGCCATAGAGACCTTGCTTAGCTTTCTACCTGTGGACTTAAGTATATGGTAAACTACAGTCAAGTTGTATTGATATTATATTAAACCCGCTAATCAAATGGTGTAACACAAGGTTCGGGCACTCTAGATTTTTGGAAGTTCTTCCAGTAGTCCCACCTACTGGATTAAAGCACCACTTCCAGATAAGGATCCCCTTAAGGAGTGAATGCGAGGAGAATTCAGTTCTGACCTCGTATTCTGAATCAGCAGCCTACACTGATGGCTCCATGCTGGATAGAAAGTGGGGTATACTCGCAAGAACTCTCGCTTGGCCTTAGTTTTCGTCTGCCAGATCTGCTGAACTAATAGCAATCAATCTTCCATTAATTTGCATGCAGCAGCTACATATCTTTTCTGATATCTAGACAGCACTTAATTGTCATAAATCTACATCGAAGATTGCATGGAACATACATGGGTGCCATAAAGACATACAGTCAACTGTCTTACCGATGAACTAGCAAAGGGAAGGAAACTTACTGTACACTGTTCTGTTGACCAAGAAAACTTTCCAAGCACCCAGGCATAATTGTCGATTTCACTTATGACACACAGAAAGATTTAAGGGTATAATGAAAACCCGGTTGGCGGGGAACATCGTTCAACCTATTCAAACTTACCTGTATCTGCTAACCTCTGCAGAGAAAATGCTCCATATTATCCTCATCCTCCAAGCAAGGTGTATACAGTAGGTCGTCGAGTATAACTATGTTGACTAATTATATGTCGTCCATATGGATTGTTGGGCATGATCAGTCTTCTCAGGGATCTAAGCTCACTTCTTCTCTTTCTGAGAAGGAATTTCATCACCACCCTATCTGTCATTTTCGGAATTCATTTGGTAGTTTTGCTGTTGCCAGTATTAAATCAAGAGTTATCGTAAGACTTAAATATTAATGAGATCTCTATAGCAGCAGACAGTTTCCAATAGTATCTATGTGCTGCTTTGCTGTTGCTGCTGACCCTAATTTGATGTTCGGTCCAATTTTTGTCTGTTATCCAGTCTGAAATATTAAGCATTGTAGTCTTCCGATTTAAAAACCATCCTATCCGACTTCTGTTATAGTTTCGATCTTCGTACTTCCTATGCAAAATAAACTGCATGTATCACTTTGTCATTTGGGCCCAAAAAAGGATATCATTATGTCAACCTTCTTTGCTCGATTCCTCTTGTATTACTCCCTAAAACCAACAAAGTATTAACAGTCTCTTCTAACGTTGTTCTCATGGTGTTTGTATTGTCTATACACACACCCCTTAGTGGACCGCTTAACCTAGAAACTGATCATTCTTCTACGAAATCATACTAGAGCACCATAGACGAAGTAAGACCCCAAGCCTTACTACAGGTTCTCCGACCCTGCCCAAAGTCTTTCAGCACTCGATTTACCTTCAGCTCAACGTGATTTTTCCACCGCGGAAGCCTTTTACTACCGCGGAAGCCTTATCTACTTTTGTTTTAGCATTGATGGCAGATTGAAAAGTTCGATAGTTAGCTGAGAGCTTATATGACTGATCAAGCTGAAGATCGTGTTATGATAAAACAGCTCTCACTACTTCAATTATTCTTGATATTTTTTTTAAGGAAATGGTAAAAATAAGCGATTATATTAAAATATCCTCTTCCAGCTATCATGTACGTTTAGACACTTAGTTCTTTTTTAAGTTCACCCTAGGCATGACATAGTCACATCTACCCGTTAAACCTCTCTGATTTTCCGAAAAAAGGCAACTGCATCTTTATAAGAAAAGTCGAAATCTTCTTTTCCCCGAGAACTTTCTCGAGGGTTCGTGAAAACGACGAGTGCATTTTCTTTCAAAAGTAACGTTCTTTTGCACGTCTCAGCCCATTCGTTTTTCATCCGCAAGCTCAGAAATCTCTTTCATTTCTTTCATAGCTAACAGCTTGTAGTAAACTAACCATAGGCTTCTCGATGCAAAAGTGTATCAATTTTAGCCTGAGCCTCTAGCTTAGCAGTAAATTAGTAACCTGGAGGCTTTGTGTTTTATCTTTTGGAGCAGCATTCTTTTTGTGTTCGATTATTTCTAGGTCTTTTGATTCAACTTCCCTTGGAAGAAGAAAATTTACATAAAATAATGACGCTGTACAAATTTAATATTAATATATTCCATTATACATAGCTTCCAAAAAGAAGGTATTATTTTAGAAGCCCTACCTTAGCTTACCTACTTAAGGCTTTCAATCAGGGTTACTGCTGTCTTTTATAGTTTATGGGAACCCTCCTCGACATTTCATTCTATCATCTGTCACTCCAAAGTCATAGACTTTTTCGAAGTTCTCCCATAATTATTCTCGTTTCTTCGGTCATACTAATCCTTAATTAACTTTCTCTGTCATACATATCTGAACCTCGGTTCCCAGTCCTCGAAATATAGGTACTAGGACTTCAATATTTCTGCCACGGTATACCAAGCACATAGCACCTCACTCTCAAGTAACAGCATACCACAACCATCCAGCTAGAAATCTTAGTTAGATACAGAAAAACGCTTAAAAGTGTGGTCTCAAAATCAAATAAGAAGGTCAAAATAATAAGCAGTTACTCAGTTATGTCGGTTCCAATATTTCCAATCGGTAATTAAGTATGCCAAGCCTTTTAGTCGTTTATGTGTGGCGCCGGCGGGATTAACCAAACCAACTACCATTCACCATAAACCCGCTTGAGCACGCACCTCACAAAATTTTCTACAAACAGAAAGTGTATTATAACTACAAAAAAAAACATAACAGCAACCTGATGGTTATTGTAGTATATAGCAAGTATTAAAAAATAACAGAGAATAGAAATAAGAGAATCAACTAATGAACCCCATCCAAAATGTGTGTGCGAACGAATATCAAATAAAAAAATAATTAATAATAATGAAAATATTAATTAATTTAAAAATAGCCCCACTAAAGAAAAACTGACGAATTAGGATAAATCTATGCTGTAATGTTACTTAACATTAAAATGTCAATTTAAAATACACAACAAAAAACACAAAAATAATGCTTTGTAAATAATAATAATAAGAAAAACTCACGCACACAAATACTAAATTCGCAAAACGAGAGCGTTGGAACTTATTGTATGTATATATGTAACGGAGGAAAAATTAAAGAAAAAAATGATAGCACACCATAAATTTGCATTTGCGGTCGTTGTTTGTGCAAATTGATGTATGAAGTTTTGAGCAAAATAAAGTAGCACGAAATTGTGCTGCGGAAAGCTTGTGAAAGTAAGCACAACAAGCTCTTTTAACTACTCAAGCGAAGTAAGAAATTAAAAACAAAAAAAAACTTTAACACCCACACACACACACACACACACAAACCAACCTACAGATCAAATAATGCAATAGTTTGACATTCTAAAACATTTATCTGCATATTACATGCTACAAGTAGCATACCGAGGGCTTCTATTCAATACTTTCTATAAGCAATTTTCATAAAAACTAGTTTCTGATATTCAAACCCGATACTATTTCAAACATTTTAATTCAGCGACTAATTTTTACATCAACTGATAAACAAGGAAAGCCTTAATATAATCGATAACAGTTAAGTCTAAGATTGGTTTTACCATCAGAAGTTCACTTTTCATATATATATTTACATCTCATTTGTAGACACATACATACAAACAAATAATTATTAACTTGAAAAAATACCTTAGAACTATGCAAGGTTAATCATACCTTCCAAACTTTAACT